AACGCCGAACGCAGCCGAGGCCCCGCGATCCGGCTAATGAAGAAAAACGGAACCGCGGGACGCTGCGTGCAGAACTCCGCCGAACGAACACGCGAAACAAACGCGTTGGCGGCGTTCTGAAAACACCACCGTTCTGAAAAAGCTGTGTCAAACAGGGCCGAAAAAGAAAAATTAAAAAACTGAGAAACGAATATTAAACAATCAATATATAAAAAATAAATAAAACTGAAAAAAAAATATAAGCAACAAAAACACTCTTTTGTGACTGCCGCAGTCACAACCCATTGATTATTATAAATACTTTCTACCATGTGCTTTTAATGCATACTCAACAGCACTGAATTTGAACTGCTCAATTATTTTTATAAATATAACGTAATTATCAAGTGATATCAAGTGAAAAACATACAATAACCTCTTATTATTATTATTATTATTATTATTATTATTATTAACAAATGCAATTTCTTTAACAATATTTTAGAAAATTTATTTACCTAACAAATAAAATTCCTTTCATATTTATATTTATAGTACGAGTTGATGTCAAAAAATTATGCATGAAAATATGTATTACATTTTTAAAAACTTAGTAAAAATTTTGCTTGTAAGAGGCAAGCGAAGCTCCAATTTGCTTCCTGAATTAAAAATTGTTAAGGCCTTTCTTTGCCTTCTTTTTCAATTTGCTACTAATAGTAAGATTCTGTGTCTAGTGGGACCCTCGATGAAACTGATCCGTGACGAGGGCGTCAAGTGATTATGTGGAGGAGAATGACACGGACAAAAGTCTCATATTGGCTAGTTGTATGGCCGAAAAACTGTATTCTCTTTTGGGAGGTACATGTTATAAAAAATTATATACTCCCATACAATAGTAAGATTCTCTGTCATGTGGGATTAAATAATTTTTTATACTCCTGTACGAAAGCATAATTTTTTTCTTACAGCTTAAGCTGAGTTGTATGTCACCTCCCAAAAAAACATTTAAGAAAGGTGGGCAGCCCAATATTTAAATATTGTTTTTCGGCCCTACACCTAGCCGATGTGGGACAATTTATCCGTGACATTCTCTTCCACCCAATCACGTGACGTCCTAGTCATGGATCGGCTCCACTGAGAGTCTAACTGGACCATGGAGAGTCCACACACCTGACAGACACTAATCTGCTCTGATACAATTTTTCACCTCCCAAAAGAGCCCTTAAGAGATATGGGCAGCCAATGACATAAATACTGCTTTTCAGTCTTACATCTCGCCGATGTGGACTATTTGTCCGTAGCTTTTATACGCGAGTATAAAAAATTATTTAATCATTAAAAATGTAATTTCTAGGTTCTCTTTGTCTCCTTGCATAATGATCACGTGACAGAGAATCTTATCATTCATTGGAAGATTTACATGCATGCCCCTTAACTCCTGTGTATTTATATATCTAATTTCTAAATTTTAATTTTTTAGATAAATGATAACTTATTTATACATGAAAAAAATATATTTCACATCCTAAGATATGCCACTGGAATTCTGGAAGCGACTTAATGCATTCATCAACGTTTAATGCATTCATCAACGTTTGATGCTAATAAAATCCATTTTATTCTTTTGTTAACAAGTTCCTGATCATCCATTTTTTGCATCTTAATTATGTAAATATGTAATAATTGTGTGGTGGAACATAAATACCCCAAACTATAAAAATATGGATCAGGTGCGATCTTTATTAGTAGTCTACATGATTGATATGCAATGAACATAAAATTTTTTCTCTTGTATCTAATCTTACCCTTCTTTTGTTCTTTTTAGAGCTTTAGCAAGGACAAAATACTCTGCCAAGCTGAATTTATACACACATTATGTGATCTACACATTAAATATTATGAAGCAGATAATGATAGTAAGATTAAGTATTGAAGTTAAGTTTATATGTTGAAAAAATATCTCATTATGTTATTAATAATTTTATTATTCTAAAAAGAAATAACATACATAATCTTTATTGAATAAATCTTTATTGAATAAAAACATACATTTTGCACTCATTCAAATAACAATAACAATATATATATATTTATAAACATACATTTTGCACCTAAAGCTCCACTTCAAGCTCTTTCCAACCTATAAACTCTGAGCACTCTCAGCCAGTAAAGAGAGCTGAGCAGTTCCTCCAAGCCGGTGTAGGAGTCTTCTGGTTCTCTTAGATCAGCCACAACAAATTTATGGAAGCAATTAATCTTCTCCAGCTTTGAAATGCCTTTTGGTATGAAGTTTAGTGGAGTTCTCATAAGATTAAGACAACGTAAATTTTGTAGCCTACACATGGATTTAGGGAGCGTCGTCAAAAAAATGCACTCAGAAAAGTCTAGGAACTGGAGGTTGATGAGGCTTCCTATGGATTCAGGCAACGCTCTGATTTTTGTACCACTCAAATTAAGATATCTCAAATGTATCATATGACCAATGGAGTCGGGAATGCTATTGATATCAAAGTCCTTAAGTCGTAGCACACGAAGGTGTTCTAATCCCACCAATTGAATATCATTCAAAACATTGATGCCATTGAAAGTAAATAGAGTTCGCAAAATTTCTGCTCCACTACCAAATCTTTAATGACCAAAAGGCTTTCTAGAGTTTCAATGGATAGTCTTCGAAGTTTCGTACTTGAAGAGGGGGTTGCTGAAGCCATTGTCATTCCAGAAAAAATTTCTCATCAGATCATGGATTTTGTATTCCCAGGCATTAGAAAAAAGCGTAAAAGAACTGAACTGCAGAAGGTTTCTCCTGAGCAACTCAGTGTAATATTCTTCCGCTACATCTTCCACTAGTGAATCATTTTGCTCTTCTACGAATCCTTCAACCAGCCATAATCGGACCAAATCATCACGATCAATCAATGCATCCTCTGGAAATAAAGAAAAGTAAAGAAAGCAATGCTTGAGATTTGATGGAAGGTCATCATAGCTGAGGTACAGTCCCCCTTTAAGTTCTTTAGGAAGTTTTTTCATTGACCAAGCATCATTTTTAAGAACCTTCTCTCATTCTCTTCTACTTCTCTTTTTTCGCAAGAACACCAACAATGACATTTATGGCTAGAGGCAAACCAGAGCATTTTTTAACAATCTGGAGTCCTATAGTTGGAAAATTCATGTTTCAACTTTACACACAAATTTTAAAATAAAAGTACATAATAGTCAAGATCTTTTAAATTCATGATTTTTACATATGTAAAATAAAGTGATGCATTCCTGTATTCATGATGAACAAATTTGATCTTTAAGAGATGAAGTTTCTCTCTAGTTTCTCTCTCTAATCTTCTCTAATCTCTTAAAACTTTCTGTACTTTCTGATGGAGAGAAATGTACGAGGTGTGTTAGGTGGAGAGATGACCTATTAAAAAATAATATTCTATTTAACCACAATTCATCGAGAGGGTTACTAACCAATAAGAATTAAGATAATTTAATAAATTAATTAATTTTTATTAATAAAATCAATGAAATAAGTTAGTAACATTTATTTATTTTAGGGGTTATGAGTTACAAAATAAATTAAGTCATGAAGTCAAGTCTATATCCTAAAAAAATAAAATATCTCAATATATTAATAATAATTCTAGTACTCTAAAAAGAAATAAGATATATAATCTTTATTGAATAAAAACATACAGCTTCCACTCATACTAATAACAATAACAAACAAAAAGAAGAAAAAATTTGTTATATGTTAACAGAAAAAAACACATTCATAAAAATGATAGTGATGATCTAGTTTCTCCACATATCTAAGTGATGGGCATTTTTCCACAATAAGTTTGTATAATGCAGGAGATTAGACACCCTTTTCCAGATTTTGATTTAGATAGATTTTCATTTCTTCCAACTTGGGGAAATTTTCTACTGATTTAAGGCTTTGATCGTCCTATATGGAAAGGTTTTTAATCTTGCACTGTTCAAGTTTTTGGAAGCGCTTTCAGCTTAGGACAATCATAGATATACAAACTTTTCAAATGAGGAAAAACATGTCTCTTCCTGTTCCGCGCTCAAAGCCATGTTGAAGCTCCACTCTTTCAGTTTAGCCATGCAGCCTATATGAATCTCTTGGAGATTGGGAAAGGCTGTTCTTGTTGTTGTATGGGTGCCGCCGCATAGAAACTCAGATTCGATGCTCTTCACCGAGTCTGCATAATGTATGTGTAGATGAGTTAATTGCGGCAACTCACCTGCTAATGAAAGTTTCTGACATGAAAAATTATTCTCTGGCTTCAGTGTTGTCAAACAAGGAAGATGATCTCTGAAAGATGGAAACTTCATCCAGCTTGGGTAATGAGTGCCAAAGAAATTACTTATGAGGAGTCTTTCCAGGCATTTGGGAGGACATAGGTCGTCCAAGACAGCTCCAAATGCTTCCTAGTAAGTGCAATGACGCCACATTTCATCGCCTGCTCTGCAACTATCAACTTCACCCAACTCTTTTATGGCTTCTTCAATCTCAGTTCCCAGCACATCAACACCTACCAAGGGGGAAGCTTGGCTGGTGTTCACAGTCGTGATAGTTTGGAGCTTTGGTTGTCCTCTGCTCTCCTCTAACTTGAATTGTAACCTTTCTTTATAGATCTCTTCCAGTTCATGATTAAGAGATTTAATGCTTTATGCAATTTCATGACGATGCGAAACGCTTGCGAAGTAAGAGAAAAAGAGGGAGAAGTCAAAGATACAGTTACTTTTTTGGATGAGCAATCTCATAGCCATGACCAGCTAGCTTGTGAGCTTTTCAATGAAAGTGCCCACAAATGCGTCCAAAGCAAAGTCTCTATCAGCATCTCAAAAAAAAACCTTTTTGGGTGCTTTCGCTGCTCCGCGTCCAAGATCTCTGCTCAGCTCAATTTAAGAGACCTGCCCATTTGCCCATATGATCGAAGTCCATGTGCTATTTAATAACCAGTAGACCACTTGTGGATCCCATTAATAGAACCATGTAATTAAAAAAGGACATCCCCAACCCCACCATTTTTATTCCATTAAAATAAGTCTCTATCATCATTAGTAAGAGAAAAGGACATTCCCATACACACCACCCAAGTCTTATCTTTAACATAAATGCCGCACAGTTCATATCTTTATCTATTTCCATATCTAACCCCTAAACTTTAATATTTACATTCACAACACTTAAATTTTTTACATCAATTCAAAAATATTTATCATTTTTACTAATTTTTTAAAAATAATCAAATACATACTTTTATGCATAAATATATAGCACCAAAGTGTTTTAAAATGTAAATATCAAATTGTTAGTATTGGTTAAACAAATTCATAAAAATTATGGGGTCCATTTGTAAATTTTCCTAGCAATTATTGATTCAATATATTATGCGTTAAAGAGGAAAGCTCACTGAATTAGGCAGCGAAGGTGTTGCCTTCTTGGACTTCGTCCTGCGCGAGTGATCTTTCCAACAAAACGTGCATAAATATAGTAATAATTAATTAATTAAACGGATCCAAATATTAAATCTTAACATATTAAGTCAAATAATATTCAATTTTTTTCTATATTCAAGCTATTAAATTGTGGAACTGTCGCTCTTCCAACCGAGTTGTCAAGGAGCCCACCTAACGAGCTATTGAGTTCAGCTGTATCGAATGACATGACATAAAATTATAGGATGCCAAATAAAACTACTGAATATTCAATTTTTTTCTATATTCAAGCTATTAAATTGTGGAACTGTCGCTCTTCCAACCGAGTTGTCAAGGAGCCCACCTAACGAGCTATTGAGTTCAGCTGTATCGAATGACATGACATAAAATTATAGGATGCCAAATAAAACTACTGAATATTCAATTTTTTTCTATATTCAAGCTATTAAATTGTGGAACTGTCGCTCTTCCAACCGAGTTGTCAAGGAGCCCACCTAACGAGCTATTGAGTTCAGCTGTATCGAATGACATGACATAAAATTATAGGATGCCAAATAAAACTACTGAATATTCAATTTTTTTCTATATTCAAGCTATTAAATTGTGGAACTGTCGCTCTTCCAACCGAGTTGTCAAGGAGCCCACCTAACGAGCTATTGAGTTCAGCTGTATCGAATGACATGACATAAAATTATAGGATGCCAAATAAAACTACTGAACATGATATGAATTTTTTTGTGATATAAAACTGTTGTATAAGACATTATTTTTATGTATTTACAGGGAGATGTGTAAATATAAAAATAAAATTTGAATGATGAATTACATACATGATTAAATTTTAAAAATATATATAGATTATTAAAAACATATTAAGTTGCTCGTATAGTACGGTTATAGGGGTTGTTATTTTTTTGGCAATAGATGTTATGAAATATGAAGTGGTTAAAACGATGATTACACTTGTTATGTGTCAATCGTCATTCGAGTATTCTCCTCGTGAAACCCTAACTTTGCTTCTTTCCGCAAAACATCTGCTTATTATCAGCGCGTGACTAGTGGTAGGAACAGATGATTTTAGAGGAGCTCAACATCCTTAAATTTAAAGTAAAATCTTTTATATTTATTCATAATTAAATTGAGAATATTATCACCTAAAATTAAAAAAATAGTTGCAATGTCATATCATTGATATCTCTTGAGGCTGGTGATTAATCATTCTTTTTTAATATTAGACTGTTATCCTCTATTAAATAACTCAAATAAAATTGAGAAATCCTCGTCCATATTGGCTGGACTAAACTAGAAAAAGGAAGATTTACATACATCCCACTCAATTTGAAAGTATTTACTTATCATGACATCTGAACTTCAATTCTTACATAGGTGCCATCTTACCCATGCATGAAAAGCTGTATTTCATCATTTAAAAGTTAAAATGATGATATTTTTTATGTAATATGAGTTAGATATGTAAATAGATAGAAATTGGGTGAAATGTATGTAAATGATCCCAAAAAGAAAACAAAAGTCAACATTTAACGTCTGACTGAACTTTAACATAACATAACTACTTATAGGAAAGAGTAATGCTATGCTACATTAATCATAAAGATATTTATATTATAAGATTAGGTGAGAATTAAATATCTGAGCTCCTGTTACGTGTTGCAGAAGAAAGAAAACGATGGGAGTGAATTCCTTGACAGCGGTACCAATCTCTAAAGGAGTCCATAAGGTGTAGGATTCTTTTCTTTTCTATTTATAATTTGTTAAAGATTAGAGTTGGGTGGTGTGTATGGGAATGTCCTTTTCTTTTAATAATGACGATTGCGACATGACTTATTTTAAGAGGTAGATCTGCCCCCTTTTGTGCTGAACAATTTAAGGTCAATAAGGCGAGTTAGTTTTTGAAGACTTGAAGCTCCTTGTTGAGCCCTTTCCATCCTCGAAATGCTGAGCATTCTCGGCTGGTAAAGAGAGTTGAGCAGCTCCTCAAAGCTGCTGTAGGAGTCTTCTAGTTCTATTGGATCAGCCACAACAGATCCACTGAGGTAATTAATCTCCTCTAACTTTGAAATGCCTTTTGCTATGGAGATTAGTGGAGTTTCTTTGAGACCAAGGAAGCGTAGATTGTGCAGCCTAGTGATGGATTTACGGAGCATCGTCAAAAAAAGTGTCAAAAAACTTTACCATACGAACTGGAGGTTGTTGACGCTTCCTATGGATTCAGGCAACTCTCAGTTTCTGTACCACCAAATTAAGATATCGTAAATGTATCAGCTCACCGAATGCGGTGAGCTGATACATTTGCGATATCTTAATTTGGATGATACAAAAAGCAGAAAGTTACCTAAATCCATAGGAAGCCTCATCAACCGTGGATGATTATTGCCATGTTTATTTGCTCTGTCCGAAGAAAAAGAGGAGTGTGATGAACGCAAAGGAAGGCCTGAGAGTTTGCTATTTAATTAATAATGGAAAAGAGATTTGCATTTCTTGGTGCTTGTTTTCATTGTACAAAGAATGATGGTATTTATACAAGTATCTTAAGATTTAGAATAGGAAAGAAATTAAATTAGGAG